CCCCCCACCCCCCCCCCCCCCACACACACACACACACACATACACACACCTCCCTCCCCACCCCCCTCTTGCTGGAGAACTTATTTAAAAAATCAACCCCAATGTGAAATGTTTTAGGACGAGAGACCTACCCTCTACCTACTGAGCAATATTAGCCCCCAGTGGTTGAATGACCCCTTATGTCACTTACCGTAGTCAGGCCAAGTTGACTGGAGATCCATACGCTAGCAAGCAGCCGCCCTAGAGGTAAAATTCTTACAATATTCAGTGACGAACTATTTTTTAAATGAAAGGACAGTCCTCGAAAAAATGAGTGCATAAAAAGAAGAGTAACAACTTTAACATAACGCTTTTTATGAGAAAATAAGCTTCCAATTTTATCCCATTTATTCTTACAGGAATTTAGATAGTGGGCGTCTCGACAGTCCGAAGGTGCATTGGTCCGAAAAATGGCAACATTTTCGTTGTTTTTTTTAAATCAAAGGTGCATTGGTCCGTCCGAAGGTGAACATTCAGACCAATGAACCTTCGGACTATTGCTATGGCCCCTTTAGAAATTGTTTATCACCTTTAACGTTCTTATTAACCACTTTGACATCGAAGACTTCTTTACTGAGTAATCACCCCTAATTACCGTACATGAGATGTTCCTCTCTACGGTTATAACCGAAAATATACATATACACAGCCATTGCTCTTAGCTCCCATACTTGGTGCGTGTTCAACAAGATGTCTGCTATATTTACAATATTAGCTGTCTGAGTGTGTCGTGCCGCAGTCCTACATGTTTGTACAAATCATAAAAGTTCACACAATGGGAAATTAACGTGCGCTTTGTATTGTTTCGTATTCTATAGGTATAGGGGGCGAAATATTGGCTGAAAATACCACACTACAAAGCTTATTTCGCACCTAAACATTTTCTCGAATCACAGATAGAAGCTGCTAGTCGGCCAGCATTTGGGATAACGATGTGATTAATATTAAGCTTTTGTTTTGATTGTTTGGACTGTCTATATAATTAAAATTATCCTGAAATTCCTGAAAAAAATTCATTTTCAACATACCATTAGTCATAAAAATACCAGTTTATTTGATCATTGTGCAATATTACAAGCTTTTAAAAGCCTAGCAGCTGTGTCTTCTATAGCTTTTTGGGTTATTGCGAAATTTCCCAATCGATAGTGTAGGTCGGTTCACGTGTATGTTTACATTGTTACTGTCGATGTATTATTCAGGTAAACAATTCATACTTAAGAGGATGAATAGGTGTTGTTCACGTCACTAAGCACCGCGTCAATACTCGGCGGACATTTTGGATCTGGCGGAAGTAGAATAGGTGATGCTTGGGATTTTTGAAACTGTGGAGAGTTTACACTGTCATCAAATTACGACTTAAGGTGTGAAGTCAGGGGAAAACGGAATTTGTGAAGTGACCAAGGAAGGCTGTCTTGACCGATCTCGGTACTTTTTACCAGGTATGTCATCTATGAGAGACTTAAATGGTAATGTGTAACGCTAGTCTAGTGACTGTGATTTTACATCAATAGTTTTAGGCTCAGATTACCACTGCTGGTTTGAAATTTCATTCAACCACGTGGTATGTTTTACTGAAAAGGTAGCCACATTTTAAAGACAGTGACACACTAAAAAAACGATTTTAAGGATGTCTAAATCACGGTCAGCACGCGAAAGGAATCCTTGATGTCCCCCTGGTGTAGAAGTTGTCCTCGGGGTCTGTTAGATATCCCAGCTTGTTGTCAATATGTCAATATTTGTATAGCATACGACATGCAAAGCTGATACGATATACCTAAGACGGTCGAAAATGTGACAGAGTATTTGCTACATCCATGAGAAATCACAGGTGTTGCTATAGGCCTATAACACGTACATCACGTCATTGAGCAAATACACATATAAAACATGTATAAGCTGGCATCATTGCAGCGCTCACAGTGTTTATACCAACAGCTATTCTACCATACTATTATCTTACCGTACGCAAATATTCCTACAAAGTGAATTATCTCACTGTCAAATAAACGAGGAATGTTAAATATTACATGTAGATTATGTCAAAATAATGCGATCAGAAAGTTATGATTTGGGTGTACAACGCCAGGAAGAAGGACGCGTGGAAATGAAGAGAAATTGGTTTAAAAGTAGCTTTAAATCCGAAATTATGTACTGTTTTCTTTTTTAGGTGTGTAGAGTAAGCGTGAAGTGTTTTTCAGTCCAACTAAATACCTTTCAGTGTTTTAAAAGCTCTTTTAAGTTTTTAATCCCACGTTTTTTCTGTACATTTTATCAAGGGGATTTGATTTAAGCAAATTTTTTAAACTCCAGGTTGAAGAGGCAATGGCTGCAATTTGGTGGAGAGCCTTTTCCTTATTGCTGCTGTCCGCGATAGCCGTGGAAGGTTGGTACTGGAATACCATACTGTGCTTGAAAATATAATTGGTCCAGTTGTAAACCATGACATCTTATACGGAAAATTATATTGAAAACCATGTAACGTTTTATAGAAAATTATATTGAAAAAGCGTAGAATTTGAAGAAACCATGGCATGCTACATAGAAGATTACATTAAAAACCCGTAGAGTTTGAAAGAAACCTTGTCATGAAATGTATAAAATTATATCGAAAACCCGTATAGTTTAAATAAATAACAACATAGAAAACAGATACCAAAATTTTACCGTCTACTCAACTCACACTGAATATTCACTTCAATCTATTTCTTCCTTCACAGGCAGCACGTATTACATGGACAGGTATACAGGGTCGTGTTCTTCATACTCTTACAAGTACACATATTCCACTAGTCACACAGTGAAGGCGTGGTACCCCGGCAACAGTTACATGTCCTCTTCCTACTGCTCTCTGGTTTTCTACGCCTCTCCGTCGTCAGGAAAATTGGCGTTTAGATTTTCTTCCTTTTCTGCGACCAGTTCCATAACTCTCTCATTTTACGATGGTTCTTACACGTCGGACACCCGGTTGGTAAGTGGAAAGACGAGTCAGATTGTGAGCTTGAACATCGGTTTGGGTGCCAAGTTTATTGCTCTAGTCTTTTTTTTTTAATTTTCTTAATGGGACGTGAGATGTACACAGAGTACAGATTTCACCTGTATTGCATCCGACGATGATGGCTCAAGCTAACGATTGCCATTCCAAGGTACGATGTAAGCTGGTTTGTAGAGTGTGTCATACTTAGCGTTGAGGTGAATTCAGAAATGATAATTTCGTTGGGAATCCTCAACACATAAAGAAGGTTTATTTGTTTTCTTGATGAAGAAAGAAAGGGGATATTTATTGTTCATTACCAACAGAAGACCAGTACATGTCATGTTGAAAATGTTATCATTGCTTCAACTGTAAAATAAAGCGCCAAGTCATACGCTCATAACGAGAAAATAACACGAGTTCTGTTGGACAAAACTGAACCTTGTAAACATGCTCAGTTTTTGTTGCTGTTGAAATTTGCCTCAAATTTAATGTCTGCAACACGTGATAATTGAAATACATACCTATTACGTTATGTTTTTCAGCTAAGGTTAGATAACTCCAACTCGATGCCATATTCCACATATTATACGACCGGGAGCGCGTTGCGTGTCTATCTGGTCAAGACCTATTCCTCCAGCACTGGCTACAGCTTTGAGTTCAGCGTGTGGAGACACACCGGTACTTCAACCACCCTGGGGACTCTGTCGCGTAAGTATATATATATATATATATATATAGCCAGCTATGTCAGGAATGGTAGCCTGCTAGAGCCCTTAGTCCGGGGTCCCATATGATTAGTACAGAGCAGGGTTAGTCGTAGTTTTGGGGTCAGAATATGGGACGAATGCCACCTGTACAAAATAATTATGGGGAACGGACTACGGTTCCTAGCGGACTACCATCCCTCTTACTCGCAGGTGAAGGAATGATTCTGCATAGCAGACATCTCTGACAAGGGTGAAAATTGTGTTAAAATATAATAGGTTTGGCATTTTGTCGACATAACACTTTTTTAAATTAATCTATCCCATGGAAAATAGGGGCAGGTGGGCTCAGTATGAGGTTAATATTGATAATGTCATCTAGTATCATTAGACAGATGAATCCTCTTGCTCGGTTGTATTTCCATCTAGGTTAAATTGTATTCACATTTCTTTAAATTTAAATCTTTTAATTTCATTAATTTTTTTTTCGAGTGAAACATTGATCCATTTATTATAATCGTTTATATATCTTCATTCCCAGTTCCTATCTCAATGGACGACAGCACACAGTGCGGTAGCCAGATTAAATACGTGAACAGCGGCCAGTACCTGTGGGTGAACGCATGGGCCCCTTCTAACACCTACAGGACCTCCACCAGCTCGTGTACCATGTATTTCAGAGCGGCAATCTCCACAGACTACCTGGCGGTCTCCTTCGCTTCTGGAAGTCTTTCCATCTCCAGCAGCTACGTGACGTTGTATTTTTATGACGGGTCCAGCACCTCCAGTACTTTACTGGTGAGATTTTTTCATTTATTATTAGTGTGTGTGTGTGTGTGTGTGTGTGTGTGTTCGTTTTGGCCTGCTTAAAATTAAAATTGGTCTTAGTGAAATGATAAGTCTGTAAGTCCTATAAATTTTAGTGTCGCTTTTATTGTGAATTTTGCCTCGGATCAGACAAAAAAAAAAAAATGATAGCATATTGTTGACGACCGCTACCAAACATTATTTTAAGGATATCAAACAATATGTAGCACTTGTAAACATGTATTTATTTTCAAAGGGAAAAATCCATAGAGTATTAAGTGAGGGAATGCATAAGTAAATACAGGAAAATATAAAACTGAAAAACTTTGCTTATGTGGTTAAAACTGTACAGTCAGAGCTTTAAAAACAATATGAAAGGTGAAATATATCATTGTCATTTACATCAGTGGATTCACTTTCAGACCAGCTTTAACTCGTACACCAGCTCGCCGAGCAGTACATACTACGCCACAGGGTCCTCCCTGACTGTGTACCTAAGTAACGGCTACAGTTCGTCCATCAGTTTCAGTTTTCAGGTGTTCGCCACGTCAACTCCAGTCACCACCACTGCCACGCCGTCGTCTTCCAATAGTAAGTTTTGAAAGGGTTGACTGAAAGTTGTCGCGCTATCTCAGCCTTACATCTCGCAGGCCCGTAGCCAGCAATTTCAAAAGGGGGGTTCTTTTTCTGGAAAAGTGGACCTTTTCTATAAAAACTTCATGTACCTAGATCAAATTTTACCCAGAGTGGACCTTTACCCAGCAAAAAGGGTGGTTCTTTCGAACCCCCCGAACCCCCCCCCTGGCTACGGGCCTGTCTCGGAAGGTGTGTGTGTGTGTGTGTGTGTGTGT